CGAGGAAAACTTAGATAACCTACCGACACTCGGGCTAGAGCCCCCTCCTCGAGCGCGCCTATGCCCTGAAGTGGAGTCTATTCACTGAATGGTGAGTCTCTCACTGAGAAGAGCCCCGAAATTTGCCAGATCAGCATTGTTCTTTCTTACGCCAAGAGAAGCTGGAGAGCAGGGTGTCGCCCTCCACACCCAAGGTTACATGGCTGCCATTTCCGCTCTCATGACGCGGTGGCTGGCAGCACCGTGGGAACGCATAACCTCATCATCCGGTCCCTCAGAGGCGCTAGGCAAATTAATCCACCCCGCCCCCTTCTCATGCCCTCTTAGGATCTCGTTCACACGAGCCTGTGTCAGATCCCTTCGATCCTCGACTCAGTATCTTTAAGATTTCTGTCCCTGAAGACAGCTCTGCTGGTTGCATTGATATCGATTAGAGGGTCGGCGACCTGGAGGCATTTTTCGGTCAGTGACTCGTGCCTGTAATTCGGGCTGGCTTACTCTCACGTTCCTAAGACCCCGCCCGGGATATGGTTCCTACCACTCCGTTTTAATACCAGGTAGTGAGCCTGCAAGTGCTGCCCCCGGAGGAGGCAGACCCAGCCTTACTTATCCAGTTTGCGCTTTGCGTATTTATCTTGACCGCACTCAGAGCTTTAGGTCATCTGAGGAGCTCTTCGTCTCTTAGTCGTATCGAAACAGAGTTGGCCCACTGGTTAGTGCATGCCATCTCTCTCGCTTATCAAAGCCAAGGAGAGCCGTGTCCCCCGAGAGTGCGTGCGCACTCCACTCGGAGCTTTTACAATCTGCGAGTGGATCCGGTTTCCTCAAGGGTATTAGGTAACCCTTGGTGATTGAGGAAACAATTCAGTTAGGTGTTGAAACACGCTTGCTGCGCCATTCTCCCTAACACAGAGATACGTGCGCCTTTTTATCTGTCAGTAAAGTTCCCCGTCAGGTGAGCCCTGCAGATTCCTACAAGGCCCCCAGCAGGAGGAGCGGAGGAGTCACTTGCTGGCCCACTACGATGTAGGTCTGCCCGCTGGTGAGCCCGCGTTTTGGGTATAGGTGCCCGCTATGCGTGGTCCCCACTAGGCAATCCCATATGCTTATTCAGCTACGGTGCAGTCCCCCCTCACGGGCGGACCCGTGTCTCCCCTTTCCGCTAACCATCCTATTATATGCGTACTCCCCCTTTCAGGGCTAGTCCATATGTATTTTTTGCCAACATATCTCCCCCATTGGGTGCAGTTGGCCTCCGCAGCGTCCTCCCTATCGGGACTGCACGCTTCCCAACGTACTGTCGTATTATTCCTAGAATTATCTAGACGCTTACGACTTCCCAAAAAATATATCTAAATCCGTAAAACTTCTGTTGAAGTGGGATAAGTAAGGGCCAGGGACCACGTTGGAGGACCGCGCCTCTTATGATGTAGGAGCGTTCACGCTTGCTCTCATCGGAAGCGTTGGTAAGGTGCAGTTATTATGGAGTTTTCCATAGCTTCTCCCATTCGTGGATTCTAGTTAAAATCCACCAATAGCATTGAAGTTCCCCATCCGAAGGGGAACGCTCTGGTTACTGGAAATGCTATTTACCATCGCCATAATGACTGTCCCTTAGCTGTTAGTTCAGTCTCTTCAGCTTAAAAGGATAGCGTGTGCTTGCTCCACCTGTGCTTATATGCGGAGATAATTGGCAATAAGTTCCAGGTGCGCAAGCTTACGCTGCCAATTCATTGGCATTTCACTGGCCCATTCCATACTCTTTCAGACAATTGGCTTTCTGAAACGAAATCTCCCATTCGTGGATTCTAGTTAAAATCCACCAATAGCATTTCCGTTACCCGAGGGTTACTTTAGTAACCAGAGCGAACTCCACACAGAAATGCCAACTGACCCAGTCAAGGCTCAAACCAGCAACCTTCTTGCTGTGTGGCGATCATGCGACCCACTGCGCCACCGCGTCGCCCTGGTACCAATTAATATAAAACAATTAAAATAACAAAATAAATGTATACATAAGAAGGAATTGATGATCAGAAATTACTAAGATGTTTAACAAAGAATGTCAAGTAAAGCATTACATTTAATGATAGCTTGAAAGTAGAAAAACCTAAAGAGTAAAATATGGTAAAACATAGTCAAAGGAAAGTCTGAAGAATTATTTATTTGTAATTGTTTTATTTACAACTTGGGAAGTTACTTTTAATACTTTGTTAACATAGTACTAATATGCTGTCCAATGTTGTTTTAAAGCAGTTAAAATTAGAATAAAGTACTTTTCATTTTGTTATACTTTTGTTAAAAGATGTCTCTTCAAATTAAAACCTGCTAAAATTCGTGGATATACTCTTACCTTGTAGCGAAAAACTAAATGTAAAATTGCATAACCTACACTTCATTCTAATCTATGCAACGTCATTCTACAAGATATTTCTCACATTTCAGGAATAATCACAAGAGAGGTTTTCCATAAAATTAACACAACTACAAAGCAACCAATATCCTGAGGAAAGAGGGATTTGGGAAAACAAAAATCCATTGTTACACCTTGAACAAGACATGTAAAATCTAAACCTAAGGCGTGCTCTTTGTACTCTTTTTCGACAGCACAAATCTACTAAACCCATCAAACAGTCTGCACATTTTAGTACTTCAGGGATTCATTTCCTAAAGCAGAAACAGTAAAAAATAAAATGAGAGAGCATATGAGAAGCTCAGAAGCTTTATGGATCCGTCTGTGTGATGCTCATGGCCTTTTTCCCCCACTCATTTCCAAAGTATAATTTAAAGCAGTACAATGCTGAATAAAAAGTGCTGTGTGTACCAAACATGATAACAATAGAGTATTCTGAAGTAAACAATCAGTTACCTCAAATAAAAATGTACATCACAACAGGTTTCCATCTGAAATAAAGAACTAATTGTATTGCTACTGGGAAAAAATGTGTGATGTGTAACATGTGATATTGTTTCCACATGAAACAAAGCAGGCATTTCTGGCTCTCTGATGACTGAATCACTATAATCAAACTATCAGCAGGAATCAAACATAAGCACTCAGCGCCAAATACACTACATGTGTTGTTTTATGGCACATTTAAAAACCTCAGCTGTTTTCTGTGAATAAAACTGATCAACTTGACAAATACAATCGCTTTAAAAGTGGAACCCCCAAAGGAAGATCAACCAACCAACTGACAATAACAGTTACGGCTGAAATCATCCTTTTCAACTTGTGTCAAACATTGATTTTTAATGTATTTAAGCAATAGAGTAAAAGTTTCAAATGATGAAATTTTGCAAGAAAGTTGAAATACCAGAACATTTCATGTTCTAATAACCACTGACTGATAATTCATGATAATTCAAGTGTAATTGTAATAGCACATACGTTAGAAGCTTATGCAGATCAGTTTGTAAAATCAGTGAATCATTTCACACTCATTTCATTGTTCCTTAAGCATGCTCAATCCACTAGATCACTGTTCACCAACCACCGGGTCACGAATCAGTAATGGTCTGTGGATCAATTGGTACCGGGACGAACAAGAAATTATTAATTCTTTCAATTTTATTTTTTATCTGAGTCTGAACAACCTTTTAATTTGAAAAATCTTTTATTTTGAAAAATGACTTTTTTTCTTAGTTACATCTCAGTTACCTGAGCGGCAAAATTTAACCCACAAGTTAACAAAATGAATAAGAAACAGACCCCTTAGGAAAGTTTCTTTGCAAAGGGGAAAAGGCCCAGGACTCACGAACTGCCAAGACATAGATCCGCAACCCATTTGTCAACAAATCAGGTAAATCCAGTATGTCTGTGCAAGAAGATCAATTGCTGGAGATCTTACGCTTTTTCTGAGCGTAAGTTTGTTATATTTAATGGAGGCGCGTGGCTTGTGCATGCATGTTGGGAGTGACACGCCACTTGAGCCTTCCAGTTGCACCCAGTTAAAAAACATCTTTAGAATGCGAGTCACGTGAACAGAGCCGACCGATCAGCCTCATATTTTATATGGACTATACACATTTCAGCAGATTAACTAGACAAACTTGTATGAGAGTTGCAGCAATGTCTTGTCAGCTTGTCATCCTCTGAGAAAACAGTCGCTAAGCAATCTACCTGAAAATAAAAAGCAATCCCTTTACTTTTTCTGCTGAAATATAATCTAATTACAGCAACTAGTTACTTTGTAACTAAATACACATAACACAGTTCTTAAATGAAGTAAACTTTTTTTAACAAAAAAATATTTATTGTGCTATTTTTTATTTAACAAATTCATTTTGGAATGTATTTTTTGCCACATGTACTTAGATATGCATCTGCGTACTATAGATGGTGGAACTTTGAGTAACATTTGAAATGGCAAGCAAAACAATTTTGCCAAATTATGGTCAGTTCGTACCATTTTAATGCCACTATATATTCTTGTAAACCTCAAAAACATACATATTCATACAATTTTAGATGAAATAACAGTATAGATGCAGTTTTTAGGTGCTTTTTTTTAGGTTTTGAAAAATATGACTAGTGGCAGTTACAAAATACAAACTGACCATGTTGCTTAAAAAGTTTTACACTTCTATTGGTGCTGAAAATTCAAAATATAACAGATGCATGAGAGGCCAGCTGGTAAAACTTTAAAAAAAAGAGGAGGGGTAAAAAAAAAAAACAGACTAATTTCCTGATTACAAAATGAGGCAGAATAATGTTTGAACAGGTAGAAACAGATGTGTCGTGCCGGTTACTCTGAAAGAGCCAGCAACCGGCGGGACAGAAATATAAGGTGTAAATAACAGCAGATCTGCAGTGCAGCACAAATCAGAGTCTGACAGGATCTAGTTTGCTCCCGCCAGATACAGAACGTATTAAGTCATTACCACGAGCACAGCAATCCCATAAAACTGATGAATAGCTTTTGATCCTCTCTGATCTCCACATGACTATAACATTGATTTGACTGTCACGTCATCATTCTTTTGTGCTGAGGTCTTACCTTAGGATACTGCTGAACCGGGATCAGCACACGCTCGGACAGTTTGATGTTTTTGTTGCTGATGATATCCAGGTATTTCTTAACCTCGCCATCTTTTCTCAACTCGTCGCCTTCAAACTTTTCAATCTCTGAATAAAGAAAGAAAACAAATATCTTGAAATACAAACATATATTACAATGAGCTTCTGTTTTAATTAAGGACTGATTTTTGAAACTGACTACTGAAAAAAAAAATGCAATGTGTAACATGTTATTGTTTATAAATCAAAGCAGGCATTTCTGCCTTTCTAATGACTGAATCACTATAATCAAACAATCAGCAGAAACATAAGCACTCAGTGCCAAATATGTTACATGTGTTGTTTTATGGCCCATTAAAAAGCTCAGCTGTTATCTGTGAATAAAATTAATCAACTTGACAAATACAACTGCTATAAAATCAATGCCCCAAATGAATATCAGCAGACAATAACATTTTATAGCACTAAAAATACTGTTAAAGGCACAGTAGCCATTTTTGCCACAAGATGGTGCGCATTCACAACAAACAAAGGTGTAGTTTGATGATGTCATGGCTGAGTGTGGGATCATGGGAGTTGTGGGTTTCGGTTCAGCCTACGGGCCTCCTGGAGAAATCATGTTCATGGATGAGCTAAAGTTTCATTTTGAATAAGACTACTCGGGCACTTGTGGTTAATAGTTATGTCATTGTAAAATACATATTTTCTCAGTATTTTCAATGCTTAGCTGCTGCTCCTGACGGCTTGAACAAATAAATGACTACATTTTGATGAAATTACATTACCATTGCTTTTAAAGGAGGCATATGAAATTAAAGATAACATTTTACTGGAAGTTTTTCAGTGCTTAAAACAGTTCTGTACATGAATCTATTGCTGATGAGAGACAAGCATGACGTGACATGAAAGCAGCGGAGCTTTTATTATGCCATAGCCAACCACTTCCTATTCTTTTAGTCATGATCATGCAATGCTGTTTTATCATACTAAAACTCATTTAAGGTTCTGTTATAATTCTGCTGTGTGCAGTCTAATAAAACACACAACATACAGGGTAATTTAAAAAGAATGCTACAACTTTAAAAATCTGTATACTTAAAAAAATACATGATTGAACCTTGGGTACTTAATTAATGTGAAGAGTACTTAAAGTTTTTTTTTTTTTTTTTTTTTTTTTCAGTAGAAAACAAGTTCATAGATATTTAATATGACCACCTCGAGACACTAGTGTGACATCAACCCGGAAGTTGTGGTATTCTTTTTAAATCCCCCTGTATCAAAACATCAGGTGTTTTATATAAATATTGAATAAAAATTTAGGCTGTGTGAAGTTATTAGCATGGCGATATAGTCTGTGTCACTAGTTAAAATAGCTTAATTCTCTGAATCTGCATTTGGAATAATTAAGTACAAACGTCAGCAAAATTTTTACTATTGTTCTACTAGTTTTTTTTTTTTTTTTTTTTTACAGTTTTACAATATACAGTGTTGGTTAAAGAAAAACAATGCAAGTTCTTTTCTTAAAACATTTGCATTAAAATGCTGTTGAACCACCAAGCATGTTTAAATTGGAAAAATCAAACATAAGGGGCTTTATTTTGACGGTCCATGCGCAGAGCGCAAAACGCAGGGCGCAAACGCTTTCAGGGCGTGTCATAACGCATTTTTGCTAATTTAAGGACGGGAAAATCTGCTTTGCGCCGTGGCGCATGGTCTAAAAGGGTTGAGTTTATTTTCTTAATGAGTTATAGGTGTGTTTTGAGAATAAACCAATTAGAGTCTCATCTCCCATTACCTTTAAGAGCCAGCTGCGTTGCGCCATAAGCTCATTTGCTATTTACATGACATAAAGTAAGTTCACTTTCGCTTTTGCTCTTTTGGATAGGGAAACCTTACCGCACAGACATCAATTAGCCAATAAATAATTAATTTTGCTTGTTAAGCTCAAAGATTTGTTTCAAAACTATTTCTAAATTCAGTTTTAATTTCCAGCAAACTAATAAATGAACAATAATAACAAAGTGCGGTCAAAATACTGAGTTATTTCCAAATACACCTGCTATGCCCTATATGGTCTAAAACCTGACACGTGGACAAATCTAAGCTTGTTTTAAATAAAAAAATATAAATATGGATATAATAAATAATACGGCTAATAATAATAACATTATACAAAAGCAAATTGAATGAACTGAAAAAGCCTCCCGAGATGAAGAAAGTATGAAGGCAGTGGTTTTTAAATTCATGAAGGCTAAAAATTAATATGTTTTGTAATATTTTAATCATTTAAATTTATATCCTATATATATCCTTATTATTATATATATCCTTAATATATTATATCTTTTTCATATGTAAAGATATTTGCGTATTGCTCTACATCTTGTGTGTAGTGTGTAAGCCAGGCTCACTTTGCGCCAGACAATAGATGGACTTTGTTCTGGTCTAAAGAACAGACTATTTACAGTTTCTCAAAAAAGCAACGCGCCAAAACACGCCTGCTTTTTTAGACCAGAATGCCTATGGGCGCACATATGAGAGCAAATGCATTTGCTATTTAAACAGTGTGGCGCAACACCTCAAAATGACCCTTGCACCGAGCTGAAAGTAGCAAAAGACTATTGCGCCCAATTGCGCCGGGTGTAGGACCCCAGGGACACTGATGTGCGATAAAAAACATTAAAATGTACTAGTATACAAATGAAGCACACTGATAAAAGTCTAAAGGTGAGAGCATGCGATTGAAAAGAGGGTTTTTAGTCTTTGTGCAGCTAAGTCTAAATATTATTAGACTTTGTGTTTTTTATAAATAGAAAGAAAGAAAGAAAGAAAGAAAGAAAGAAAGAAAGAAAGAGAAAGAAAGAAAGAAAGAAAGAAAGAAAGAAAGAAAGAAAGAAAGAAAGAAAGAAAGAAAGAAAGAAAGAAAGAAAGAAAGAAAGAAAGAAAGAAAGAAAGAAAGAAAAAAAAAGAAGTTTTGAACCATGGCTTGATCAGTCCAGGAAATCTAGCTTTCGATGGCACGTTTGTTAAAAACAATTAAATAAACACTCCAGGTATACCGTAACATGTCGGCGTAAGCCTGCTAAGCCCTTATTCGCATGACAAACACAAATTGAAAAGCTGCTGTGCAAAACTGTAATATTTTGTGCTTGAGGAATTTTATGGTGCTTTTGAGAATTGAGCTGGAGACTTAGCAGCCACACAACATTAAAGAGGCTTGAAATGAAGCTGTCACCTGGCTTCCTCCAGGGATCCCCTTCTGTCGCTGCTAAATTAATGCTCAGCAGAATTGAGAATTATGAACCTGTGCAACTCGTGTAAAACATGGAGAGGGAAAAGGAAAGGGAAGTCAGCAGGTGAAGGGAGACCATTATTTTTCACCTCAACTCTGGTGAGATTCTGAGTTGCTTAAACCTGCAAAAAAGTACTCTATGAACTCTATATATAAATAACTATTCATCACTCACACAGATAAAATGAATTTTCAATAATCAAATCAATACAAGTGTCAATTAATTTTCTCAATTAAAAATGTATCCTGCTTTTTTATTTTAACAGCATTCTTTAACAAACGAAACATCGTCTTACAGCACAGTAAAATGCAATTTAGCATAACAATAGTTCATTCATTCATTCATGTTCTTTTCAGCTTAGTCCCTTTATTAGTACGGGGTCGCCACAGCTGAATGAACCGCCGTAACAATAGATTATATAAAAAATCTTGTCTTGTATTGATGACATATCAACTTTATAGGGCATTTATAGAAATACTCAAACAAACCCTGGAATGGTTCTGGGGTTATTACAAGACTTTTGAACTTTTATAACTTTTGGCAAGACACTTGATTTTGATAAATTGTAAACATTCATTCCCCCCATCTTTTAAACAACGGGCCAATGATGTGTTGCATTATCTTTGGAAAAAAAATAAGACTTAGCTTAAATGGTTCTGGTCCAAGTTCACTGCCATGTGGCGTCCTTTCATAATTTACTCATTCATTTTCTTGTGGGGGAAACCAGAGCACCCGAAGGAAACCCACTCGAATGCAGGGAGAACATGCAAACTCCACACAGAAATGCCAACTGAGACGAGGCTCGAACCAGCGACCTTGTTGCTGTGAGGTGACAGCACTAACTGCACCACTGCTTCGCCCTCATAATTTACTTCCAAAGCCAAATGTAATTGTAAGTGTACAAAATAATGCTGGTGCTGTCAGGATTTGCTTGTATTGTACTGATGTTGTCTTCATTTATTTATTTATTTTTTATATGTATGTTATGTTGATAGTCATGTCGATTAATGAACGTATGTTTTTGACTATTTAAATAAATAAAAAGGGGAAAAAATGAATAAAAATATTCCAAAACACTAATGTAGTGCCATTTAAAATCTTTACATATATATGTCACTACCTACTGCGCCGCTGCATCGCCTAGTATCATTTAGTATCACATATTTATTTATTTAATTATTAGTTTATTTCATTCTTGCATGAATAAATCTTTCAATCAATTCAATTTTAATAAATTCAGATGAATTCAGACCTCAAATTTAATGAATTATATAAATATTATAATAAAATAAAATACTTGCTTCTACTCCAATGACTTGCTGCTGAAATATACAGAACAATGACTATATTGTAAAAAAGAAAAAGACTTTTATATAACTATGTTATGGATTCTAAATGGCAAGTACATGTTATGTGTTAACTGACAGTTTACAAGCGGTTTTATTAATGTCTGTTAAAGTTTTGATTCTGCGTTTAAATAAGACGTGATTTGGTTCGAGAAGTTAAACTTTTTCTTTCAACACACTCTAAGAAATGCTGTGTTATTAAAACTTTTTTTACACGTTTTGCAAGATATAAGAGAAATATTTTGTGTCTTCAGAATGTGTCTGTAAAGTTTCAGTTCAAAACACCCATCTGATGATTTATTATACCTTTAAGAATATTGGAATTTTCTGCTTTAAACACAATATAGCTGTTTTTGTTGCCACGTGCCTGGCAGTGTATCTCTGTCTCCGTCAGATAAACAGCACAGTGACACAAATGAAGAAGCAGATTTTACGTAATATTTGTAAGAAATACTACAGTGATTTTTTG